TATGTCCACATGTATGGGTATTTTTGAAAATGTATATTTTTCTATGCGTTTGTACCTTTCGTCCACACGTAAATGGTGTTTTCGGTCCCTGAAAACGGAGAGTTTTAAAAATTCCTGAGTGGAGATTTTCAAGAAATCCGTTTTTGCGTTTACTATGGACAAGGAAAACGGAGAAAACGCAGGGTCTAAGGTGTGCGCCTTTTTTGACGTCACACTGTGCGCCAAGTTATTGTTTCGGTGAAATTAATTTCTACAATGGCGGACTTAGACAAAATACTGTTAATTTTACTCTCTGTAGTGTTTAAATGCTTACATACACAGACAGTTAATGTCCCTCCACACATAGGACTCAGTTCCGCTTCTTTGCGCCATCTTTGTTTACTCTTTCCCACCCAGGCGTCTAGATATCTGATTGGCCAACATTTCTACACGGTTAGGAATATATCGCCACCTGTTGCTTTGGCATGCTCCCGGCAGCATTTTCCTTCGTTTTTGGTGTTGAGGTGTGGATGGGATGTTTTTTTAAAACGAAAAACCTCAGTTTTCAGAAATACCCGTGTACATGTGGACGTAGTCTACAATGTATCATTGTTTTCAAAAAGGCTCCAGTTCGCTTTCCACAATGCTACGGGAAAACGGCGTTTTTCAAATGTATACGCTTTGGAGAGCGTTTTCAAAACGCTGCGCTTTCCTTGACTGAAAACACCGTCTCGGTGTGGACGGAAGGCCAAAACGGAGAGAAAAAGATGCGTTTGCGTTTGTAAACTCATCTTTTTCTCTCCGTTGTGATGAGTCATGATAGCATTACAGGCTGTTCATTTTTAAGTGTGGTAATTAGAAATATTGCAAAATAAAATGCCCACAAATATACTGTAAGAAATACAGTATATTTGTACAGTATATATACTTTTATTTTTTAGTATATGCTGAATTATCAGTTTCAAAGCTACTCTACGAGAGTTTCACTAAAAAAATGAAACAAAGGATAAGTTTTAACCCTTTCATGCATGAATTATGACAACCTCAATTGGGATTTTTTTGCTTAAGTATTTTTATTAAGCTTTGGGCATGAAAAAAACTTTTTTGAACCTTTTAAACATCTACCTTTCAAAGAGTTTTTTTACTTGTCCACTTGCCTCAGAATTTGAAATTGTTATTAAATTTGTAAGGTGTCCTTGAGTGTTTTCAAAGGTGCCTATAAAAATCTGTATTAGTGATGAATGTTTGCATTTTTTCACAATAAGACATCTTTTATGAATGATGTGTACAGATACACCCTTAGTTAGGGGAAAATGATGTGAAAATCATCTGTGGAACCGCTGTGTAATAATATTCAGATCGTACACAGAGCAGATGTAAAATTACTGCAGTTACATGTGTTAGCACATGCTGGACCCAACAATGGGAGGCAGAGGCAAGTTAAATAAACAAAAGCTACGCCTTTAATGCAAAAGCCTTTAATCCAAAAAGAACTAATGTTACACTAAGTCCAGTAGGCAAAACAAATAGAAACACTCAAAAACAAGCGAGAAGGAACTCAGGGAAGAAGAGGTGGGGAAACAGATGAGCTTACTTGGGGAGAAGCAGGACACGTCCACACATGACAGATTGAACAGAGTTGGAAGCAAATAGAGGTAATACTCATGATAGCAGACTAACTGCAAAGAGGAAAATAAATACTGAAACATGAAGGCAAAGGGAGGGGGAAATGGAGAAACGAGATAGACAGGAAGGCACAACAAAACAAACAGGAAGAAAAGACCGTAACAACATCCAACTAAAAATCTCAAACCAATCACTTAAAGAAAATCCTGAAACTATGTGGCCTGTAAAGCCTGACACTTTCTCTTATTCTGCCATACAAACAGCTATGCTGAATCAGAAAAAGTCAGCCCAGTCTTCACACAGTTCGACCCAGTTTTATTTTTTATTTTCTGATATTTTATGTGTTTGCTTTGAATGTTTGCACAGAAAAAAATAATAATTATAGACAGTGATAAAGCACACATTTCCATAAATTATCTAAGCCTTTGTACTGTAGGATATGAGATAAGGACAGATAACCTTCTGTCCTTATCTGGTTACCTGATACAGGTGAAAAAAACATGATAAACACCAGGAAGAATATATTTCCCACAGTTGCAAACCTGAGGATGCTAACTTAGATCCATGAAACATAGTTTTGTTTATTCGTTTGTTTACAGTGACAGTAACAAAGTGGAGGTTAAAAAAATGGCAATTTAGGGATAAATTTCCTCCAGTAGGAGGCGATATTCTTCCTCAGGCCCTTCAACGAAGATCGTCTATTTTGAAGAGGCATCCCTTTCCCCGTCTGTGACGCTGACCTTGAGTTACTCCCTTCACTGTGGATGGAGCAGAGTGTGACATCTTAGTACTTTTAGCATCCCAGGTGACGCCTACGGAGACCGCGAGAGGATGGAGAAGGGCTGCACCGTTGACAGACAGGCGAAGTGAACGAGAGGTGATAAATAAAGAGCTGGGATTGCTCGTTAAACGGCCTGTCACTGTCTGGCTGATTCTGACCGACAGCTAGCGTCAGACAGCGGCTACATGAGCTAGCCGCTGGCCATGTCAGCTAATCAGCTTCTGTGTCGGTAACAGGACAGCGGAATGCCGTTTGGGAACTACCTTATTTTAACCCCATTATTTATTGGTGAGTAAGCTCTCTTTGCATCAGTGCTACCTAATTAGCGAGTTTCGTGAACAGTTTGCGTTTACATGACTCTACATTCAGCTGTTCACGTCATGCCACGATGACACCTGTCTGTCTGTCCAGGATGAAGAGGCTGGAGAAAATGGCAGGACGGCGGTGCTTGTTTTCGCCCACAAAAGGCGTGCGTTAATTTGTTTAATACAGAAACACGCATGATCACATTTGTTAAATAGAATCAACCAGAATAGACTCCAGTTCATTTGTTTTGTTTTGTTTTTTGCGTTAAGAGCTTATCTGTGACCCTGTAGGGCTAAGACTTCGGGTTTGTGCTGTTCATCTAAGTAGCACAAAGGTGCGGATATTGTTTCCCGTATCGGCTTACTGTCCGGGGCAGCGCTGGCCTCTCTTGCGTCTTAGGATCAGAACCAGGTGGAGAGTCATGCAGGTGGTTTTATAGATCAAATGAAAGAAGAAGGTGATATTTGAAATGAGGAAATCAGATTGCTCATTGTGTACATTATGTGCAAGTTCCTCATTATTTAACTCTGCAGAATGCCAGCAGTCCCATGTACACAAGTGTGGAAATCAATGATCACAGGGCTGTGCCAAATTTATTTCAGTTGGTCTTTTGTTCCACCTGCCTGCTATTTTGATCTCAGGTGAGCCAGGCTAATAAGATAAAATAAAAAACATTTGCTTTTTTTTTTTAAAAAGGTAAAACAAATATTCATATTTAAAGGGGACGTGGCCTGCTTATTTCCAGCACATTTTATTATTGGAATATTTAATCAGTGAGAGACACTACAGTATTACAAAGAAAAGCCCAACAATCGGAAAACCCCTTATGAGCAAGTACTTGGTGACTGTGGGAATGAAAAAGTCCCTCTTAACAGGAAAAAACCTCTGGTAGAACCAGGCACAGGGAGGAACAGCGATCTGCCGTGACCAGCTAAGGAAGAGAGCAGAGATGGGAGAAAAGAGTATGGTAGAGGGAGCCAGAGTTTAATAACTACTAGTGATTGAATGCAGTAAAGAGTGAAAAGAAATGATTAAGGAAGAAATGCTCAGTGCATCATGGAAAGCCCCCCCCGCCCCCCCGACAAGGGTTCAGGGTCATTTGATCCAGCCGAAAATATAAGCTTTATCCAAAAAGAACCTTTAAGTATAAATTATTAAGCAAATATCTTTAACACTGAAATTATTCCCAGAAGCTGTTGTTTTTTTTATCCTTCTTTTCTGATTGTATGCACTTTCTTCTACCAGGTGCATGAGTCCTTTGGGTCCTGCAAGGAGAACCCATGGAACCCAACATCATACCCTTGCACTCCTCTTCCTTGCCTCTGATGGATGATGATGATGGTGATGGGGAGGTGGCATCAGAGGAGGATGAGTCTCTTAATTTTGCTGATGCGACTGAGTCACCTTCTAGTTTCAGACCTCCTTCTCCAACCTCAGAACCAGCCACCCATCAACCCAGTTGCAGCTCTAATTGCGCAGGTGAACAATCCCAGCCTACATCCAAAGTGAAGCTGGAGTCTGGTAAGGCTCAGATGGATGTAGGACAGGAGGATTATAATGCTGAACCTTCTTTGCACCTCACAAATGGATTTGCTGAAAGTGAACATAACTCTGGGGCCCATACTTCTTCTGTAGCGGGTGGTCGGTCTCCTGTGGAGGAAACGGGGTTTGCTGATTTCACTGTGTTTACAAAGCAGACGGGACATCCCTGGTGTTGTGGCTTCTCTCCAATGGCTAACGCAGAGCAGGAGGATGCGAGAGTAAAAGGGATAAACGGCACCTTTAGTGAACAAATACATGAATCAGAAGAGGATTTTATTATGGAATCTGAGCCCAGATATCACTGTGCACACAAAGAAAAACAAAACATCTGCACTGAGATCGGGGACAGGGAGAAAAGAGATGCAGCACTTGTGCAACCATCTCAGGTCCATCATCAGCCTCAGGAAGCTGCAGGAAATTGGAGTTTTCCTTCTGTAGAGGAGGAGCTAGATAAGCCTTGGGATAGTCAGAGGGAAAGGAGGAATAGCTGTAATTCTCCTCAAACCTCTGAGGTACAGGACGATGGAGATGCAGAAGAAATCTTTCAAACATGTAGTATGCATGAGCCTATGTCAGAGGACTTGGCATCCTTCAGTGATGATTTGTCGTTTGAGGTTGCTTCTGCAGATTTGGAACCAAATGTTTCATCCCTCGCCTCTCAAGATGATCAAACTGATTGGGACCAGTTTGATGAAGATGATGAAGACCTGGGAAACCGCAGACATTCTGACTCTTTTGTGACAAACCTCAACCAGACTGAGTCAGACAGGGACGTTCATCACTGCGAATATCCGACTCAGGAAAATTCTGCTACCTCCAAACAGTCACAATCTGGAACAAATTTGCAAGACAGATTTGCTGACTTTACTGACATCAGTTTTGAGCATCACAGACCTCAAGAAGATCTTCAAACGGCTGATGCAGGCGTGCGGATTCTGGGAAATCTCCCACTGAGTGACAGCTTTGCAGATTTCTGCTCGGCGCCCACGCAGGAGGATGAAGAGGGGTCGTGGGCGGAATTCAATGACCAGAGTGCAGAGGATGGAAGAAGTTGGAGACCGTTCAGAGCACCAGTCAGCAGCCTGCAGACTGATGTAGACGATGAGGAAAAGAATAAGCAGGACAGAGTGGAAGGAACAAGAAGGAACAGCTCTCAGGTAGAAGTTAATTTTATTTAAAAACCTAAACTTCTGCTTACATTATCGGTTGTCTGTTTTTATTATTAAATGTTACCAATTTTTAAAAAGAATGTAAGCTATTTAAAGGCATATTAATGTTTTAAAAAGATAAATACATATTTCTGAACTTCTAGTTTAAAAATGAACCATCTTATATTCCTATCTGACCAGGATTCACTGCCCTGTCGTGTCCAGGAAATCCTTCAGGCCAGTTTCCCAAAGGTAGTGGTTCCAGCTGTGGAAGATGAGAAGGAGCTGGTTGGCCTCAGTGCTTTGCTTCAAGCTGAGCATCTCTCTGAGAGTGGGGAGGAGGTACCAGTCCCCAGCAGTGCTCAGCGGTGAGGAGAACCTCCTGAACTATGGCTTAACCAATCTGGAAAGCCATCAGCTAGTCTGTCAACTTCCCCTCAAGCTTAGGATTGGTTAATTTTCTGTGATTTCCTGTTGTAGATCGAGTATCTATATGTGAGCTTGTGTTTTTGTTATGTGCACATAAACCACTACATTGGACACTGATGTGTCACTCCATACCCTGCCAAACACTCCAAAGGTGATGTTGTCCACCTAAGTGGACATGTCAAAAACTATTTGAAAAATAGGTTAAAAATCAAGTTCAAAAATCTTTTTCATGCCTAAAGATGAATAAAAATACTTAAGAAAAAAATCCTGATTGAGGTTGTCATAATTCATGCATGAATGGGTTAATAGAAATCTGGTCTGAAGATGTACCCTATAGGATTAGTTCGCACTAATCATATTAGTGCATATGTTTGCAATTCGTAGTGGTATCCTTAACATTTTAGAATTTCATTCCTTGATATAACAGATAAAGTAATAACTTCTCAACATCTTAGCTGCTTTTAAATTTTCTTCTGACCTTCCAGGATTCAGCAGGAGATATTGAGGCCACATCAGGATGTCCACAATGCAGTTGGGCTCCAGTTTCAGTGGGGGGGCTCCCATACTAACAGGACTCTGCTCAGTTGCCTTGGCGTGGACACAAGAAACGTTGTGAGTTAGGCATCAGTAGCATTTTCCATTACATGGCTTAAACTGCTGCTAAAATGGACCAAAAAATTCTGTTGGTATTTTCCAATGTTATAGTGTTGCTAACACTTGCTCATTCCCAATTCCAAGGTGTTCACTGGGAGGAATAAGCAGTCTGTGACTGTGCCTGCTTTTGCATCCAGCCTGGTGAGTCTTGCTGCAGTAAATGTGAATAAACGTCACTGGTGTGTGTGGTAGGAGATCAGACAAACTGTCTTGTCTGATTGTCTCTGAATGGAGGACAGATTCAGTAGTACTAAAGCATACTGGGCTTTGTCGCTTCCCTGTGGGACCGGTTGCTCTTTATGTATCTTTATTCAGTGTTTCCCAGCTGGAATATCAGTTTTTGTCACTTTCAGGGAATGCTTGAGCCAACCAAAGATGCTGTGCCAGCTGCCTGCTCTTCAGGAAGCACAGCTGTTACAGCACAAGCACCTCCAG